ATTTTGTCTTCTTTTGAGTTTGATGTTCCGAAGTAATACGTTGCTGCACTTTCTTTTTCCTTGTATTTTCAACCCTTTTTTTAACCAAGAAAATCTTTTGTCGTCTGACCCACCTAATTTACTAACCAAACAAAAGTCGAGTTGGTTACTATTTTTTTTATCTCGACAACAAAGTGAGCTGGATAAATTGACTCTTCTTTTGAATAATTCGTAATCATCCGAGACACGGGGCTAGTTAGGTTTGACTCAATGTTTTAAAAACAAGACTAATGTACTTTGAATACCTGCACGGAGATTAGGCTCGGGAGATTACGGATGTCGTAACTATTTGTTGAGCTTACTAAAAGTGAACAATATTGTTGCCTGCAAATGATGAGGACGGCGCAAGCCATAACATGCACAAGGTTGCAAAAAATAACTCTGCAATGTCTGGTGATATTTTCCTCTATGTGCCAAGGGCTTAGAAAACTTAACCTATTTTATGTAGGCACCAAAATTCACCATTCACAGACATCAATTGAGATTTTCCTTCATACAATATAACGAGGGCCAGGGGCAACCAAAAATAAAGTTTAACCTCCGAACCAATAATTGTAATTGCGCATCCAACGTTGGAAATCTGTGTTTTCAAGGATAGGTTCTTCATTCACTAAACTCGACCACGATTTGACATTCACAAAGCATCAACAGAAATGAACACAAATCATGCTCAACATTTTATCAGAGGATTCACAGAAGTTGGTAAAACTTAAAAATCCTTAGGTCACGCCCACCAATCTTGTAACCCACCAAAATATATGTGGAAGTTCCTACACATAATCTGTTGCTCGCCCTCCAAAGTATGCGACATTTTGAATTATATATTCAAATTTTACTCTAGTAGGAAGGATGCTATAATCTAGTTCTTCAATACTTTCAGAAGAGCTCCATTAATTGCTGCGAGATATCTGCATCAATGTGAAAACCAAATCAGTATCTAATATTGGAAGATTCAAAATACATGCCAATCTTAATACATTGCCCTGCCTACATTGCACTTGTCCATTGCTCAATTGAACTGATCGTTTCAGAACATTAAATCTAGTATTGTTGCTTGATAATTAGAACAGGGGCATGGGCGCAGGATACCTTGCAGAATGGATGGAGTTGTCTGAAACTCTTGCCAGATGTTCTGATAAGCAGTGAGATCCATGTTCAAAAACTTGGCAGCAAGATATGCAGCTCCAGCCGCAATATGGTGGGGTTTAAATTGAAGCCACAGAGAACTCCGAAGCCTGCTAAACAATTAATCTTCAATGGACCATACAAGATAGGTACCACTACAGCCAGTATTGTTCAAACACAAATAGAGATAATACATAAATAGTCAAACTAACCATCCGAGGCACCAACTTAGCATATGTTCCCACCATGACAGATCATGTCAGCTATTAGAATGAGCAGTAAAATGAACTAGATAATTCAAATAATATTCAATGTTCATACCAAGAGGAAAACAAAAATTTATTAACTTTTCCTTACCAACTAGAAAAGCAGCAACTCAGGAAGTATACAATTCCAAGAATCTGTGCAGGATTGCCGATAAGAGTATACCAAACTATAGCAATATCTTATACTCATCTAGAGAATTTATCAAACCTCCATACCCAACTCTGCGGTGGGGCTCTAAACTCCAGAAATTTTATGCAACTAAAATGTATGCATGGTGTGCTGTGCTGCATATTGCAAACAATTGAATCTCTCAAAGCTAATGCCATATCTTCTCAATTTTTTACCTGGAGAGCCTCGTCACTACCATGCTCATTGGAATGTTTACAATGAATGCAACTTATTTGACATGATATAGAACAAAATCCAATTGTTGTCCATGTTACATGGGTAAAATTAGAATTTTAAAAATCACTACAGTATAAAACAAAAATAAAATAAAATTCTGAGATACCCTTGCCCAAAAATAAGGAATTGAAGCAGACAGCTAGTGGACATTTTGGTGCAAAAGTTACTGTTATATCTCTTCAAAGTTTCCAAACATTTAAGGCATAACGATGAAGTATGAGGTTTGATTAGTATGTGACAAAAATGTCTCATGTTCAAGCACGTCCATTTGCTGAAAAAAGTGAAAGGTCATTGTTGTGATCTGAGAGGGTAAGTGTAAACGGGTTTGGGGCAATCCCCTCCCCCACCCCCCAAAAATACAAGAAGAAACTACTAGAATCAAACCCTAACCAGTCTAGCATTATTTTTCAAAAGCCTTTGCAGAAGAATATTTTTGGCTTATGACAAAATATTTAGGCTGCATAGAACCACTAGAAATCACAGCCACCTAAGAGACCAGCTAACTCCATTATAGTGGAACAGGGATAACAAGAGAACAAGCAAAAGAAAAGTTCCCTTCTCATTTCATAGTTGAGCACAGGAGATAGAGTAAATTATATTTCCACAATAGTTGTGCATAACTTTCAAGTCAGTGCAGGTATTAATTGTAAGTCAAATTGGTGAAGAGAAGCGCAAGAATGGATGCTTGGACCATCACTATAGAACAAGTACAAAGCTTCCCTCAGCAACAAGAAGCACACAGTGAGAGCCACTGTCTGCAACCCATGCAACAAAGGTTTTTAAGTCACAAAACATTTGAGCTATTTAACTCAGATGGAAGCAAAAGCTCTTTTATACATAATCAATGGAAATTTAGCCTGCCTGACCATACAAACAGAGATAACACTGGTATCAAAGTACTCACATTACATTAAGAAACTGAACTATTTAAATTATTATAAAGATCAATCTCTCCAATCTATATAACAATTTAAAAGAACTAAGGCTGAACACTACATGCCAAATAATGTGAAGAATGAAAGCAAAGTACGAACCACCTTCAGTATGATTATTTGGGGGTGGGGGGGTTAATAAGCAAAATGATATTCAGAAAACAATTTGAAAAATGCTAGGAGAGAGACAACAAACATAAAGGACAAATTAAGATCATGTTAGCACAAGAAGTCACGAGCAACCAAAGGTTCATTAAGAAGGAAGGAAAGTAATGTGAGAAAAATAGGATGGAAGGAAATAGAAAAGGTGAACAGAAATAGAGTAGATTGAAATAAAGGTGTTTGGTTTAAGATAAAATAGGAAAGAGATAAATAGACGAGAAATAGAATGAAAATAATAGTAAACCCCACACCTTATTTCTCTCACTCATTTCCACTTTACTATACACATTCTCTCTTTATATTTCTCACCTCTTTTTCTCGTCTCCACCCTATTTCTCCTTTGCCAAAAAAGAGGGTAAGTGTTAATACACAGGAAGAACACAACAAAATCATGAACAACAACGCCCAACTATCAATGCATCCTATTACTGTTTAAACCAAAAAAAATCACTAGAATGAATTCTCACAATTTTGACTTAACAAACAATAACGTCACATCCAACTACATAGGGTCAGCTAACAATTTTTGAGTTTGAAAAAATAAAATTCCAAATGAAAGTCAGATAAATCTTAAAGTCTCTATTACCATAACAGACTTAATGTCAATAAACAAAAAGCTAAGAGTGATCTGGAAGAAATGTACAAGGATATTTGAACTTTTGACCCAAAAAAATTGTTAGCTTGAAATTAGAATAAATGTTTACATATATCATATTGCCGATAAAAAAGCTTTGAACAATATCATCCTCTCATTTAGGATGTATGACTTTTTAGGTAGTAGTCAGAAACTCTTACCTAAATACATCAAATTATTGGATAATGTGCAAACATCTTGTAGATTGAAAATGGAACAAATTCAAATTTAAAACACCTGGAAAAGAAAAATCATACTATTAAACTAATCCATTTGAGTGACCAAAATATTCAATGTGGATGGAAATGAGGGGGAGGTTAACAAACTTTCACAAAACCAAGATTTCGAATACTGACCACAAAGGGAACACTTCTAAAGAGAGAATTTTATCAGCAGATTTATCCTAGAAACAGTTTTCTCCCAAATCAATATATGGAGTGAGAAATGGTTTCTTCTCATTTAAAAAAAAAAAAAGGATAAACAAAAACACTAATTCTTTAGTAAAAATAAAATAGGAGTAGAGAAGACCCTTATCTTCCTCCACATAATAAGTTGACTCTAGTTGAAAAGCCTCATTATGATCAATGGATAATTAATAACCAAAACTTGTTTGGAACAAAGATTCATTCCATTTTTGAAGATAAGACTGTTTGCCTCTCTCTATCTTTCTCCTTTTTGTTGGTTTCTTATAGTCATATGTCCTTTAATTATCTTCTTTCAACCCAATTTACTAAAAATTGAAGAGAGCCCCTTTGGCTAATGGAAATCAGCATTAGCTACAAGGTATTGAGGGAGGGTTAGACAGAAAATCTGATTTGGGGGGTAGGGCTCTTGTGGCTACTTTGGGTAGCCAAAATAAAAGTTGATGAGACATATTCAAGGTAATGCAATCCATTAGACATCAGCAGTTCAACTTCATGTGTAAAACAAAACTTTTGATGAACAGCATATCAATCCGCCAGCTAAGAATATCATACAGGCCAGCACGCTAATCTTGTGAATATCCTGCAATTATATGGATGCCAAAACAATCAATATTCCATGACAGAATATCTACACACAGAAGTTGGGCTAAAGCAAAATATTGAGAGAATCAACACTATTTGGAACCAAAATTTAGATGGGGAGACAACAAGGTATCTTCCTCAGCCACTAGATCTCCAGACCTCAAGACATTCAATTGCTTGAGTTGAGATTTAACACCCAAAGCCCCATTTCCTGTTTCCTACACTAGATTTTTTATTCCATTCACTCGGTTAGGTAATAAGAGCCTAGTCAGAACCAACAAATGGGATACCTGAAGAGGACATCAGCCAACAGCTCAGACCATTTCATACAGATTTGATTTTAGCCAACCAGTTTTGTCCTCAAAATGAATGGTATAAGCAAACATCACTAATGAAACGATCAAGTATTGGCCTGAAACATATGAAAACTCACCCTTCGCTGACCAAGTTTAATGCCAGATTCACCAAAACAGTCTTTGATAGACCTAATTTGTTAAGAACAGACGTAAGAGGTGCATATGGATGTTGAACATTGAGTTCAAAATTTAGAGTAGTAAGTATCAACTGTTCTGCCTCGAACACACGTTCCCGATACTGTTCAAACCAATCCTGTCAAACAAGTCAATTCAAGTTAGAATAAAATTACAATAAAAGTTTAACTAGTATTCATCTAATAGGAAAAATACATCTATCCAAGAGAAATTTTGACACATTTGAGTTGAGATTCTATTCAAAAGATAATACCTGTCTAAAATTTTAATTTAGAGTGAATCGGCAAACATGGATAATTTTATAGATACACCAGACAAATCCACATATAATTTAATAGATGCTAAGCTATTATTTGCTTTGCATGTCTTCCACAGGTAATAATAAAATGAAGGGATTTCAGATAGTTTGAACTATACTCACAACAGGAAACCGGTAGGACAACAAAGCAAAATCTTGTTTATGTAGAATTTCACTGGACACTCTCAAAACATTATTCAAAGGGCGTGGAGCTTCCTCTGACTTTGCAACAAGAAAAAGAGCAGCAGTAGCAATCAACTGCAGTACAGATCAAAGTTAACGAAAATCAATCAGCTTGGCCATAGAGATGCTACTTGAGGAACAAAGTACAATTAACATTACATAATTTAAATAAAATACCAAGCACTAACTACGTCATACAAATCTATAATAAAATTTCTGAGCATATATGAATTATTAAAAGAATAAAATATCCACAGATGATGCGGACCACATTGAAGCATATAGTACGAAAAGTATAACATGTATTTAGAGCTACTAGAGGACAAATAAAAACTCACATATCTGTCATGGCAAGCATGTGATCGTCGAACAAAAAACCGGTGGCACAGAACCATAGCTGTCCCAATAATGGTTTGAGGCCTACAAAAGGAAGGTGGCATTACTTTATGCTGGCTAAATATCAATGAATTAAATTCACTAACCAGAATCATAAAAAAAATGTCAATAGCAATGTTCTTTTTAAATATACATAAATAGAACATACAGGTAAGAACGCGTAGTTATTGGGAGATGGCAATATTTAGTTTATAACCATTAGTTTAAATTGAATATTCAGATTGATTTTTTAACTGCAGATCCAGGTGATCTTTTAAAAATCTCACCTATATCTGTAATAAAGCAATCTGACCTGTCATTCAATTTAATGGTTATAATTAAATGTTTTCATATGTCACAATAATTACGAGTTTTCACCTACTAGACTCTGAATGTGTGTGGGGTATATGACAAGCATTTCAACTCTTACAGCTCAAGACGCATTCCAAGATTCTGAAGGAAGGCACAATAGGAGTACCGCAAGTGTGTCTCATGATGTACATCAATACCATCTTTTCTCGATGGAGAGTATCTATCAATCTCATCCCTCGACATGAAGACAGGCTTATCATCTTCGAAAATAGAAAACCCACGGTTGTAGACAGATGACGTAGAGGCATCAGCATCGGATCTTGTATGAGGAGCTTGAAAATTACATGAAGGGATATTGTCATGGACCATGGGAGGAACATAGTATTTCTGGCTTTCTTGCCATACAGGAGCTGAATATTTCCTCCTTTTGAAAGATGACGGAACAGCATCATATCTATGATAATTGGTATGATCGACCATGGAAAAACTGAAGGCACAACCATGATTCCGGTTATCGTTGTAAATGTTAAAATTCCTGTTATGATAATTGTTCCTGCTTCTTTTCCTATTGTTGTGGCCAAAGTTGTTTTCATCGTAGGTTGACCAGAAACCATTATGAAAACTACGATCTTCTGCTTGGTAATTCCGCACAAAAGACATGATTCCTGCGAAATCATATCATATGAGCCAAAAAGAAAAAAGGACATGCCATCAAATCCACTCGTAACCTGACGCCATCAGTCATCACAATAATGTTAATGAAAACAACCCAGAGGGTCGTTCGTTATTTTCCCATCGGAAAATTGCTCACACACCACAATAAAATTCAAATCTGATCACAGACACGCCAACCACTACTGTTCAGTCGTAAGAAAGATAAAAAAAATATAGAATTAATTTCAGCCATAAAAAGCCCAATTATTATTTTGTAACGAAATATTCTCCCATATCAATCCGAAAAAATTTTATATTCCCGAGATAGATAATGGTGAGATAATTGTGAGCTTCGAGATCAAAAACTGAAATTCCAGTTTATCTTCCAAAACAACCGCAAAGGAACACAGATTACGTATGATTTAAAATATCCGATGCCCACAGAGAAGCAAAAACACGTAATTGGAAGCTAAAAACTCATCAGGCATATGAGGTGGAACGTGGATGTGGAAATTGAAGAATCAGAAAGTGAAACAAAGTGATCGCCTGAGAGAACATGATTGAGAGGCACACCTGAAGGAGCAAGCAGTGAAGGCGATCTTATGAAACGAGATTGGAACGGAAAGAGGAATTAGGGCTTTGAGAAAAGTGATGAGATGAGAGCGTAGCTTGAAGTCGAAAGTTCAAAAAGCAAACGAGAATTATCTAAAACGGCAAGCATCATCCACATTTTAAAAAGTTGGGTCACATTGGTTGGTAACCCAGCCCGATCCATGTTTCTTTGGTATTGGATCCACACATATTTTACTTGTTGCCAAATATTCATGTATTTATTTATTTATTTTATTATTATATCAATATTTTATGAGGATAATTTGTGATTTTAGAGTTAAGAAGATTTGGGATACTATATAATTTACATATTGATGTATTTATGTGAATGATATAAATATATTAGTTATTCCATGTAAATGCTTTAAAATTAATTAAACGAGATTATGTATAAAATATTAATATTATCGATTTTGATTTGATGGGTCTCTAATTTAAATGGTTGATTAAAATCTTAAATCAAATTGAATCAAAAATAAATTCATTCAAATCGATCCTTACTTACCCTACCCACCATTTATTTATTATGTTCACTGTATTCAATTATTCGAAATAAAAAAAGAAATAAATAGAAAAACTTCAGACCGATAAGCGTATATTATTTTTTTTTCTAATTTGAAAATCATTTGACAGACTGTATTATAATTACGAATGACTTAATTATTAATATTTAATAAAATTCCCTTTTATAAGAAAAATAAAAATATTCTTATTTCTCACACTGTTAAGTATGCTCTTCCTTTTTTTGTATGTAATTTAAACTAAGTTAAAATTTTATATTAACTTAATTATCAATCTATCCTTTTTTTGTTACCCTTTAATTAAAAAAATCTGCAAGTGTTAATTAATTTTACAAAAAAATAATTAAATTTTGTAACAAACAGATAATATGATGCTTGACAATTATTTTGTATACATTTATATGTTTATATGGACGGGTCTAAGCCCAAAGTGAAACCTCTAAAGAATTAAAGCCTTTTTGTTATCTACAGTTGATTTCTATTTACACTTCCATTTCCCTATATTTAAAAAATATACCATTTTTATTGAAAAAAAGGTATAAACCATAAACCTTATTATTTACACTCCATTTACTAGTCCTCTCAACCATTTATGCCAGTTTTCAAATTTTTATTTATCAAAATTTAGTTAATTTTATTTTAATTTCATTTTATTCAGACTCTTTTATATTCAATTGTTTATATAAATGATTTTTTTATCTATATTTTCGAAAGAGTTGTTGAAAGAGAAAAGGAAGTCATATTATATTAACATGTCCATATATGAGTGTCAAAGATTTAAATATAATAAGCAGTTTTAAAAGTTTGAGCCATTGCTACAAAAAAATATAATTTTTATCATGGATAAGTTTGACCTTCTATCTCTATGGATAACAAAGTTCTAGTTTTGATTTATTTTTTCTTTTTAAATCTTCAATGTCAAACAATTTCATAAAAACACAGACATTATTTTATACTAAACAAACATAACTCAAGTTAGGATCTGTACCCAAAATCGACACCTAGTTTATTATTTTCGTCATTTTAGAAAATATATTTTGAAAAAAGTATTTAAGAGCAACTTCTAAGATTATTTTATAATTTATTGATTGATTACCGTTGGAACTATATATATAGTGATTAATCTCTAATAAAATAATTTTACATTAAAAAAGAAAAAAAGAAAGAAAATTATTCCACCATTATGAAGTAGGAAGAGCGTAAATAACAATTTTTATTATTTTTTTAACTAAAAAGTTAATCGACCTTACAAGGAATTTTATTTAAATTTAAGCGATATATATATATATATATATATATATATATAAGTAAATAAAATTATATTTTGACCATGTATTGCAAATCTAGAATTTTTGCTCCCACTGACTTTTTTTTCTCCCTCTCCATTTGTTTTAAGATATATAAATTAATAACTTTTTGAGGTGAAATGAACGTATTTGATCCTTAATAGGCAAAAGAAAAAGTGAAGAAGAGTATACTAAGCACAAAATATTTATAGAAAGTCTAAAAGGTTTTGAGTGAATAGGTAGCCCTAATTTGTTGCCCCCAGGACTCTTCTTGTTGGTTTGAATTTGTATGTGACAGACTCCTAACAAACAAGCCTAACTCCTCCATAGTCAAGCTAAATGTGGAGCTTAATTTGCCCAAATTAAGTTGGGTAGATCATCTCTATCTTTTTCTCCTTGTGTTTCTCAAGGGCGGCAAGAAAGTAGAGTTACGTGAACTGTTCATAAGTTATAAAATGAATTATTAATCAAAGACACAGATGAGAGGAGCACAAAATCTGAACTTATTAACGGAAACAACAATAATAATCAAGACAAAGTTGTGCTGAGAGGCTAAATTTTCGCTTTTAATGAAGATAAAGAACATTATTAAACCCACCTAATGCCAGTTCTGGAGAACATCCAGGTCAGTTTATTATCAGCTCAAAAACTAATTGGGTCGTAGTCAAATCAAAACATTACTTTGTTTCTTTTCTCTTTTATTCATAACAGCTGTGATCGACATGAATCCTTTTTAATTGAATAGAATGGTCTTAGTGGTCTAAGGTCCCTTTCTCCTTGAACAGTATAGGCTCTTCTTTTTTTCTGCAGAAACTATTATATAGTTTAGAATCATTAAGTGTGTATGTTTGTGGTTAATCTCTCAATCATTCTCTAAAAATAATTGTAAAGTTTAGAATCATTACGTGTTTATGTTTGTAGTCAATCTCTTCTTCTGCAGGATTTGTTGTATAGTTTGGAATCTCGGAATCAGTATGTGTCTATGTTTCTGGTCAATCTCTATAAACTCTAGATGTTTTTTCCGCTTAAAACGTGCACGGTGCAACTAGTTTTAGTTTCACTTTCAGCCTCTTCATGTTAATTCCACAGCAACAAGACAAAAATGTGGCCCCTCTTTCTCTCAAAGCAACACATGCCTCGCTATCCCATATAAGCTGAATTGGAAGGTACTACTAAGTTCTTGTTACATAACTCTTTACTCTTGTCTGTTACTGACTAAGTTGGATAGTACATCAATTCTTAAGGGTCCCACTTGAATGGTACAGGTCAATGTGCCGAGAAGCATTGATCTTTACAGTTGATGGCTAGGCTCTTCCTTCCCTTCTTGGTCTTTCTGCAGAACTGTAGAATGAGATAAAGAAATTGCTGGCACTACAAAAAAACTTGAACTGTAAAGCACATGTATGTAGTAGGGATTTAGTTGTTGAGGATAATAACTCGAGGAGCTTAAAACATAGCATGTTATTCTCAATTTATGGATAAAATACTTTGAACATTAAATGTTAGAAAAATCTGAAGCAATGCACTAATTGATGAAATGTGAAATATCATGATGTGGACGTGTTAGAAATGGTGAAGTATTAATTGTCCTTGAATTTGGTAGAACTCCCTGCTTTCGGTAAGGATCTGCATAATTAGCACTTTAAATTAATACAAATCACATGTTTAAGTTTTTTGTATTTTTTCACACTGCTGTCACTTAACATTATTGTCGATGGACTTCAATTATAGTCTACGGCAGGACCACAGAATGCCCAAGGATAATGTACTTATAAACAAAAGCAGCCAATGTGTAATAATTGAAGATTTACCCCAATGTTTATTAGCTGTCAGGAATTAATTAGAGCCTGCCCAAATCTTAATGGAAGCTTTTTCAAGAGCTGAATTCTTGATTTCCTCTTCTTAGGACAATAAACTCATTTGCACATACAAAATATAACAAACGCAACCAGCTGTGGCCAACTTATTTGGAGGCTAACTTGGTCATTTCACTGATATCTCTTCAATCTTTAACCCCAGTAGTCACATGCTCAGAAACTACTCTCATGTGCCCACATGCTTGGGACTCCTCCATGTTAAGTCCCTGCATGCAGGTGGAGTCAAAATAACAATCCTATCTTTCTTTGACCAAGCAGTTTAATTTTAATATGTCATGAGAATCCTTAAGCTTATTTGTCAAGCCTTATATAACTTGAAATAATTTGATCCCCTTCTGTCTTTTGTGAATGATCTTCTGTACTGCAGAAACCATTACTAAACAATCTAAAAGAAAAAGGCCTGCATATGTTCACTTGAAAATGTTTACCATTGATTGATGCAATCACATGGAGTTGTCATTTTATTTTGTGAGCTAATGCACTTTCTTTTCTTTTCATTTCTTTTTTCACAATCGACTTTATTGATATTTCTCTCAGCCTCCAATCTATAGATAAAATTTAATTGTAATTTGAACAATTTCATTTCATTTTCCATTTCAGCAGTTAAGGGAATCCAATGTTTGCAACATCTTTTAAGCCAAACTAATTTCTTTTGAAATTTCAAATGTTTGAATTTTAGATTTCTTGTCCAATTTCTATAACCCCACCAATTTCTTCTTGCTTGATCTATTTGAACTTTCAAGTGACATTGACCACACCAAATCTATTCAGGAGTGTGCAAGTCATGCATTATTTTATTTAAGCAGATAAAGACCACAGCAGCAGTAATTTCACGCCCAAAAGATTATGACATTTGACAACATAATATAACATAACACCCTCCATAACTTTGAAAAATATCTACTCCTTTCCCACAATCGATGAAATGGGAAATTAAAATGGCAAAAAATAATTAGTAAGCCACTCACACAAACACACATATTCAATAAAATATTAAGGCATGCAGACACGGGGGTTGAGACTTGCATGCAAAGAATTGCTAATGAAAAAGCTTTTTTGTCTTTTACTTCCCAAGGCGTCCATGTGCTGTCCCTATATTCTAAACAGAACCTTAAATCACTTGTTTCGGGTTTACCAGACCATTTGATTATTATAATCTCACCGTCCTGACAGTTAAAAGAAGAGAGATTAAAAATAAAAAGCAACGTTAAAGCACTCTTCTCCCCCTTTAAAAATCTCAATTCTCATGCATATGCTAGAGTAAAGCCTAAGCACACACCCCTCAGTAGCCAACAACTCCACACACAATCTCATCTCTCCGTACCCTCCGAAACAAAACTATGGTTTCCCTTGAGCCTATTGAGGGCAACCCCAGATCTAGTGATTCACCTTCAAGCCCTAGAATATCTTTCTCAGCAGAGTTCTTAGATGAGAACAACTTCATCTCCATCAGTCCAAACGCTGAGTATGAGAAAGATCAAGAGAAGGAACGTGAGAGAGCAAGGAATGCTGCTGAGTTTGAGTTCCTTTCGAACAACACGAGCAACGACAACACAGTGTTAACTGCTGATGAGCTTTTCTTTGACGGGAAGCTCCTACCCTTTTGGCAGATGCAGCATCTAGAGAAGCTCAGCAAGATGAGTCTCAAAACAAAAGAGGGAGAGGATGAAGAGGAGGCAGTGGTGAGCAACAACAAAGAAGATAGTAGTAGAGTAAATTGGTTTGTGGATGATGACCCATCTCCAAGGCCACCAAAGTGCACTGTTCTATGGAAAGAGTTGTTGAGGTTGAAGAAGCAACGTGCTTCTTCTTTGTCACCCTCTTCTTCTTCCTCATCTTCTTCCTCTTCTGCAAGCTCACTGGGCGATGTAGCTGCGAAGGAAGGGAAAGAAGGGTCAAGAAATAACAATAAAGAGCAGCAAGTGAAGAGGGTAAAGAAAGGGTTGGAAAGAACAAGGTCAGCTACTATTAGAATTAGACCAATGATTAACGTGCCAATTTGCACACAGGTCAAGAGCAGTGCCTTGCCTCCTCTTTTCCCACTTAAGAAAGGAAAATTAGAGAGGTAAATTAAAGATGTTACATGCCACCACGCCTATGTTTATTTATTTAGTTTGATCCTCTGAAATAAGTTTGTTTTTGTTTTGGTTTTGGTTATTTCTTAATTTTGTTCCAACAAATGATGTTGCAATGGTAGATTAGGTGTTAATTTGGGTGGATCTGAGAAATTACAATGTAAATTCTGACTTGTATAATCATTGGATTGTGCATTATTATTCGCTTGGGTTGGCAATGGCATCGGTAGAGGTGCGTAGTTATTTTTTGGGTTGTATTGTATGGATAGTTTTGATTGATGAAGGAGTAATGAGATAGTCAGATGCAGAGTTCCTCAACGTGCGAGTCCCACATGGGCATCTGTCAGCCACATACATCTCATCGATCGATCAAGGCACGCAATTATTATGCACTGGTAAAATAATACTTTTTTTAAACAAACCAAAAAGAAAGAAGAATAGGGAGAGAAATTTCAGTGTTCTCATGTAAAAATTCACAGTATCTTGAGCAATATTTGAATTCCTAGAGCGACATGTGTCAGAACTCTCTTTCTTTAGCAGCTAAACGGTAATCTTTTGAATACTAGAAGTGAATTACGTACAATGGTAGAGGGATAATGACTAAGAAGTATCAAACCTAAATTAGAAGAAGCTTTGGATTTTATAGCGAAAACGTTTAGATATGTATGAGGATGTGATGTGTTTCTTTATATGGTTTAGGGTTCATTATCTAATTTTGGGCTTAAAATCATCTATATTTTCATACCACACGTTGGATAGTCAACTGCTTAGTTTTTAATTCTTTTCTAAAAGCGTGTGTAAAATTGTTTTTGAGTAAATTTGATTAATTTTAGATACAATTAATTATTAAATGAATTTATCTATGTTAGTTTTTTTTATTTAATAGTAAAATGTACTATAAAGGATTTCATTCCAGTTAAAATTATTATTTCAACTAAAAATCAAGTTTGAATTTAGAATATATATTTTTTTAAGATAATACAAGCGACTATTTATCTAAAATCATATTAACTGGTATCTATATATATATATATATATATATATATATATATATATATATATATATATATTTTTTTTTTTTATTTTTTTTTAGATAATACGACATGAATTTTAACATGTATTTAGATTAAGATAAAAATAATATGTATCAAGGACATATCTACAGCTATAAATAGAAAATATGATATACGATTTAGAGAGTGAGAGTCTCACTCTCGCTGTAACTCAGTTTTTAGTAATTAACCAAAAAAAATCATATTAACCGTATCAAATTATCCTCATTCTAACTTTATATGTATATTCAATTTTCTTAATTATTTAGCCCTTATAATTTATCTTTATTGTTATCTCTATCTCTAAATTAGATTTTAATTATTTTTAATTTCCAATAGTTAAAAATAATATTATATCGTAATTTAAGTTGTTTATCATAAATTCAATTTATATATTCAAAGAAGCTTATTTATTATAATATAAAATTAAACATGTTAATAAACATATATTTTATGCAATACACGTGTTGATTATATACTAAAGTTTTACATTAGTGCATGCAATAAACATGTTTTTTTAAAAAACCGATCACCAAAAAATATTTTGAAATTAGATTAAGTACATCTTAGGAATAAAGTTTACAAACTTGAGCTTAAGTTAAATTGAAGTTTGTCAAATGTGTTTCTAAAGGCAATCCAAGTCTTGTTTCTACTAGACTGAATTTTTTGTCAACATTTTAATGAGTAAAGTATTTTTGAAGGTAACCAGGCAACTCACAAAAATAAATTTACTATTCAAAGACAGAATTTAGAAAATTCCAGATGAAAACCAAACATAACCTATAAGCCGAAATAAGTGAAAATCGGGTTCACCATATTAAGAGAAAAGGTTGAAAACAAAAGTTAATTTGCGAATAGAGAAAGTTATTTCACTTCTTATCATCCTTATAATGTGAAAGCAAGTTTAAAGTAATTTTTCCATCATTATCATGCAAACCGAAACAAAATCTTTCCATCACTTTTTTCCCCGCACCAAAATCTCAAGTATTATCTTTCTTTTTATATATAATTATATGTTTGAGTAAACATGCCATAAGAGATATATTAAGGATCAAATCTCACGTTAAAAGTGAGCACAGTATGCACGAACAATTGCTCCTATGTCAGGTCAAAATACAAGACACATTGATTACTCTAATATCAGAACCTGATACAAACTACAGAAGTATGAAAAAACAAACAAAAAATTGAAAAAAAAAAAAATTCTATACAAGGATATGTATAATACATTTTCCAATGACATTTCTTTTTGCAAGGAAGTGAGAGTCAAACATGGATATGATCAACCAATCTGAAAGTACACTCCAAGATAAAACAAGAAAACCGTATGACCTCCAGCAAGGGAAGGCTGTGATGAAGTTTGATCTTCAGTTGATGAATTGACAAAGAAGAACTTCCACCAGAGAATCAGAATACTCTTATAAGCAGAAAAATAATAAAAAATTTCTTGCAAAAAGAATAGTCTTCATCTTTACTGTGGAAGGCACTAAAATCAGTCAAGGTGCCGGAGGGGACAAGAAATTATTTCCAGAAGTTCTGTTGATAATAAAGAAGAACAAGTCAGTAAAACAACATCTGCGATTGATGCTGCTGACAATGAGCACAGATAGGTGTTTTACTTACCTGACATTCAGTCCTGGTTTTCCTATGAGATTTGCTGGAATTTGACCAGTCAAATTGTTGTTTTGTAAAAATCTGCAATAAATAGGGGGCAATCATCAGGTAACATGAAACAACTATGGAAAGGAAGACAACTATAGGGACATGTAATGGAATTGAAGAGTAAATGGCAGAGCTTCCTTAAGAGGAAATGACAGCCGGGATTTACAAATGAGACATACTTGAGCGATACTACTGAGCTAGTGTCACTATATAAGCAAATCCTATTTTGTTAAAAGGACACTAATATTACTCCCTCACCCCAAGTTATCGTCATGCTATAATTTCAGCATATGATCATAACAAATAAAATTTTTCCACAAAAAGTTCAAATTTGATGAGTGCATGGCCAGGGATGGTAAAATTGGTGTGGCACAATGTACACAGAAAATAATTGTAGTGAAACAAATCTGTTAAATTCTCCAGGACATGAGTTGTAAATATAATTTCTAATTGTAATGATAGGCTGATAGCTAAGGTACATGAAATACGTAGTCAGGCACGATTGCAATTGTACAAAGTAATAAAGATCAACAAACTTGAATTCTCTAATCTACAACTATTGAGAAACTAAATTCTCCTTATCTGTAAAATTTCATATGGACAAATTTCTTAGATTGATCGGAATCGAAGTAATCAAAGCTTGCAACGATTGAACAATCAAGACTCGTATTTCTTCAATATACGTCAAGTTCATTTTGCTTTTTACCTAGGAATACTTATTTATAAGGCCTAAAGTCAAAACCCATTTAGCTTTGAACAAATGTTGTTATGATGCTTAATCTAATCAATCATTACAAAATAATTAGTACAGATTACTCATACAACTAAACACATAATTATCATATTCAATATAGTTTATAGGTTGACTTAATTTTCTAGGCATAATTGAAAGTATCAAAACGTACTTGGAACAAGGAGGAGGCTTGTAGGGAAAATTTTCACGCATTCGAATAGCAAAAAAGAAGAAATTGCTTGTAATCTCTAGTATCTATAGCATAGAGTATAACTTACACTTCTTGCAAGCTGTTGATGTCCCCTAAGGATGAAGGAATTTCTCCACTGAATTGATTGTCTTCCAAGTGCCTTAAAATAAAATAACAACATGCAAATACTGAGCTACATGAATACATCGAAGTTCTCTTGGATTTCAAACATTTTGATGGTGGAAGTTGCTATAGAACACGACTACATGAGTTGCTTTAAGATAAAAATAACTTTTTGCAAAAGGATGTGTTTCCGTTGAATGAAAAATGATAGACTAGCTACTGCCACTGATGAGATAAACCATATGCTAAAAGATAAACTATCATATTACACTTGAAAAAATACACACACACAAACTAAAAACTTACAATGTCTCTAACATCTTTAGTGAGCTGAGGTTAGGAATCTGCCCCGTTAAACTATTATTCCCAAGCCAGCTGCAAGAAAGCAATGATTTACAATAGAAAATTTTAAATACTAAATGAAGTGATATATGTAAACTTAAGAACCTACATGTTAGTCAGGGCTGTCATATTGGCAACAAAGGGTGATAAAGATCCAGAAAGAACCATACTCGTCAAGTTTCTGAACACAACAGGACATCATAAGTAAGCTATTCATTCACTCAGCACAAAAGGACTGAAAGGACAGAATACCATGTGCTATAACAACTCAAGTCTGATCTTACAAAGTCACAACACGGATACGTGGTCCTTCAGAACATGTGATGCCAGTCCATGAGTACTGCTGAGGCATACAAGGATCACCATTCCAATCCAGTGGAGGATTCCGGAGGCTCTCTTTTACTTTTTCCAAAGCAATAACTGTCAAAAGAAAGTTACCCTTTTAAAAATCTTGCATGTCTACAATAACGTACAAGTGCAATACAACTATGATGGAACATGTTGCGACTGAAAATAAAGAATAACCAGTCAACCAGGAGCAGGTCTTCTGTTTTTTTGGGGCTAGGAATGGCATGCTACCCAACCCCCACCCCCAGAAAAAAGATCGAAAAGAGTGGTAATTGTCGAGTAGTAATGCATTCCTTACACTTCTCACTACAAGTTTGTCTAATTTAAAAATCTTCTTATCTTACTAAGCTAGTGCAACCATGACAATAAAAATTACTACTACAGTGACAGTATACTGAACTATAGCGATGCTTATCTTCAATTATTCCCTTCATTCACAAAAAAATCGTATCTCTACCATTCTTTAACTCATATTTTCAAAAAATGTCACTCTCCTCACTCAAAAAAAAAAAAAAAAAAAAAAAAACTTAGTATGAGTCCGTTGTTCATATAAAGTCATTTTAAAATTTGCAATATTGATTAGTGACATAGAAGACCTTAGGATATATTGTTAGACAGCTTGGCACTGGAGGAATATATTTTCTATCCTGAGCTTAGAAACTCATTTTCTTGTCGACGAAGATATAATGTCAGTCTTAAGATGATTTCAGAAATGACCCAAAGTTAAGCAACGAAACATTAAATTAAAAGCTATACCATCTCGAGTTAAAGTTCGTCCTTTAAGTGGCAGCAGATAAAAAATTTCACCAGCATTGATTAGGGGGCCCGAGGATGAACTTGCAGCAGGGGTCAAAGTTATTGTTGTAGGACCAGAAAGAGGCCACTGGCTGGCAAATACAACAACGCCTGATGGAATCACAATTAAATTATGGTAATAAGTTATACCATTTAAGCTTATGTTAAAAATTCTTGATCCATCTGTGTTGTCAGCAAAGTATAGAGCGATGTAGTATTTAGAGCTTGGAAGTAGCGCTGTAGGCCATCTCAGTTCCAAGGACTCCAATTGTTCAGATCCTATGTGCGTCTCAAATATTTTTGCAGGTGGAAGATTCCAAAAACCCGAAACAGAAACATTGTCACTGCTTGCTTTGGCAGAATTGCTCTGCCCAAAAGGCTCCCAAATACGGTCAAACTGATCATCAGGATACCTGAAAAAAAAAAAAAAAAAAAAATCTACATCAGAGACCAGGGAAACAACAAATAAATAAACACGAATGAAATGGTTTCATGGTAAAAAGCGAACTCGTAAAATCCAATACATTATCCGTGGTTATTATATATGAAATTAATTAATGAGAGCCGATGTGGTACCTGATAAATTTAGAGATTTTACTACAATTAGTTTTGGGACCGATGGTTGAATGAGTTCTCATTTAATGAAGTCTGACAAAACAGATGAGGTGATTTCATTAAATGGGAACTGATGAACTAACTCTACCAAAATTCCTAAATTTTTCAGATATTGTAAATTTCTCGTAATTATCATGTTGACAAAATAAACAAAAACTCCTTCATTTTTCAGGGTATCAAAAAGTTTATCGTGATTATCCTTCTCAATTGTAACCAGATAACATTAAAATAAACAATTACATTTTTCATACGTTCTAGTTAAATATATAAGAAAAAACTAATATCTGTTCGGAATTTAATCCATAAGCTTCCTCAGCTCAGCTACCTTATAAGTTGTAACCCATGGCATGCTTATTCGCAACTTTCTCTTAAAGTTGCTTTCTTTTCTCACCAGAGAGAAGATAAAAGAATAAAACTTGATATTAACTTCATTTAAAAAAAAAAAAAAAACACTAAATGAACAATTGAGTTTGAACAGCGAGGCCAATGAAAAGAACAAACAAACCGAATGGGTGGTCCAGAGTATCCAAAACTGTTCCGCGCAAACATAGCAAGGCCAAAGCTGGTGAAATCCGTGGTATTGTAGAGAGAATCCCCGAGAATCAAGAACTCCAAAGCAGAAATAAACGGGTCAGAATCGGTGTAAGTATTAGAACCGATGCAGAAGCTCATGATCTTCCCCTGACCCAAGAAAACCCCTTCGTAGAAGGTGGAGTTTCCGTTGGCGTAATCTCGAGTGGTGTTGACGACGCTCCAGAGGGTCCCGTCGAGGATCTGGTCAAAGACGGGAGGCGAGGGGTGATCGGCACCGTTGACTCCACCGTAGAAGTAGGTGGTCCGCACCATGTACTTGGCGCCGCGGTAGACGGGAACATTGTAGCAGTGCCTCTTGACTTGGCGAGGGAATGAGCGAAGGGTTTGCAGAGTGGGGAGGAGAAAGGGGGAGGTGAGGGTTTTGGGCGAGCCCGAAGAGACGAAGCCCGAATCGGAGAGCCATGTCCGGCCGTCGAATTGGGCCGCGGATTGGGCCCCGCAGTTGATGAGTAGGCCCTTGGGGGGCGTTTGAGAGAGGGAGAGGGGGAAGAAGAGGAGAAGGAGGAAGAGGGAGAGGGACATGGTGGTTGAAGTGGTTAGAAGGAGAAGATTGAATGAATGAGTTAGTTAGTTAAGGTTGTGGTGAATGAATGTGAATGCGATTGTGATGTGATGGTGTTGGAGTTTGAAAGGGTCTTGGAGTTGGAGTGGTAGGAAAGAAAACAGAGAAGAACGGAGAAGAAAAGAATATGAATATGGAATGGTTATTGGTTGGAACGGGTAATGATAACGCGGGAAACAAAGTTTACCGGTCAGACACCATTACGCTTGTTGTTTTGTTGAAGTAGTTCGAGAGACAGAAATCATTAGTGGGATAGGCGTCCTCTTCCTCTGACTCTTTCGCTTTGACTTAAACAAAGCTTTTTTTGTCCTTTTCATCAATTCATTATTTATAATTAAACCTAATTTCAATCCTTTGTTTACTTTTAAATATATTATTAGAGACAGTGTTAAAAGGAAGAAAAGAAAGAGTAACCAAAACACATGCAGTTGAGAAATTGGCCCGATTTTTAATGGCTAACGTAAGTCAGAAAATGTCAAAAATGCTGTGTGCGTGTGCCGGCATTAGAGTAAAGGTGGTAAATTTATAATTACTAGTTTTCTACACAATTATATTCTTTAAGATAATCTTTTTTTTGTTAGAGATAATATGCCAATTATTGTGAACTACAGTTTCGTATTATTTATAAAATAGGTTGTATTTTATGTTAATGTTATTTATGTAAAAATTCACAAGAATTTTCAATAAAAGTGTATTTTATATACAATGGAAAAAATAAATGAAGAAGGTCATGGGCTTTAACCTGGAAAGGCCCTTACTTCCTAATACATCTTAAACGAAGATTTTAGTAAAAGTTATTTAAAAGTAAATATAAATATTTTATTATTAAGCTGTCTAAAATTTAGTTTGTGTTATTTATATAAGTTTTTTTAATTATAAATAATTTTTTTAAAATTTTACGTAAGATTTATAATAAAATATTTATTTTTATTTATAAGCAAATTAACCATTCTATTAAATTAAAGATATTATAATCCACGTGTATCTGAAAAAAAATTAATATAATTTATTCTTAAAAAATCTTGCAATCAATTAACCATATACTCTTGTTTCGGTGGAATTTTGATCGATTTCGATTCTAAAGTAAGTCCTAATCGAAATTCTACCACGTAAGCTCTTTCGACTTAGGCTAGCAATTTGATTTTCAATCGACAACGTGTATGAGAATCGACAATTACATGTATTGAAAACTCGTTTTTGATATTTTTGTAATATAAAGTATCGAAAGCGAGTAAATACGTCAAATCTGAAAAGCGGAATCTTTAAAGTGCGAGACAATGTAAAGTGCTAAACCCATTAAGATTGCGTGAAAAGTAAATAACAGGAAATCGACACATGCGGAAATCGAAATGACATTGAATGTAAAGTACAAAAACATGAAATTGCTGAATCGAAATTGCTCGAAAGTAAATTACCAAGGAAAATAAAGAAAGCGATAAATGTACTCCGTGAGCAGGGAAATCCAGACCGCCAGAAGCTTCATGGTGTTCGTCGTTTCTCCGGTAGACTTTTCACTACTGGTTCTGTGATCTGCCAATTTTTGCTCCCCCTTGTTCCTTCCTCCTTTGCTCTATTTATAGGGCATCCTTCAAGCCTTCCGAGAGCAGTTAACACGACTGCTACCATGTTCTACGTGCGTATGGCAGTTTTATCTTCTGTAGTTTCCCACGTTCTCACGATCTCCGACTTTTTCCCATGATTTCAAAACTGCTCTTTATACGTGCATTCGTCTTCCTTTCACGATTTGGCCAAAGTCTCGATGTCCACGTTGGCTTTCTTTACTCTCGATTCGGTATTTTTCGAGAACTTTGAATTGCTTACAATTCCTTTTTAACCCTGGTCTTATATGACTTAGTTTTTATTCGACAACAGTCATTTGATTATTATTCATTCGATTCTCGATTGTGCTCCTCGATGCTGTATGCTACGTATTTCTAATTAGACGTCGAATGAATCTTATCGAGTCGCATCTCTTTCCTTCGATTTCGATCACTTTCCTCGATTTGCCACTAACAAAATGCCCCCTTGGAAGAATATAAATGATTTCAGTTTATATTCTTTCAATATTCCCGCCTCAATGTTTGGAAACATACGGAACTTAGGGTTTAGGTTTTCTGGGGTTCTAGGGTTAGAAGGGTTTTAGGTTTTCCTTTCCGTTTTACGTCGCCATCATATCAGTCTGTTGCTTTTACAGTACGCTACATTTATTACTTTTCGTATCTGTCGTTCCAACTCCCTAGGCGATTTTCTCTTTTAACCTTTCTCTTGGTCTTTGTTCTGGTTTTTACGCGAACTTTTATCCTCTTTTGCAATCTTGTCTTCTTCCCTAAGCTCCTGCCCTCGTCCCTGTTTCTTTACCTGTCAACTTCCTTACTACTTCTCTAATCTTATTATAATGGCCTCTTCATCCAAGTCATCTGATTTCTCGGCTCCTCCTCTTACCTCATCTACCTCTACCTTGCTGGAGATTAACAACCAACAGTTTGCTCCCTTGCCTCTGATGGAGGAGGCCTCTAAAAGGATTGCTGAAACTCAGGTATTAGTTCCTTACAATGTTGGTGGGGTAGGTTTTGGTTTTGGGGGCCCCATTCTTTCTGGTAGTGGAACCGTTTCTCCCCTCACCCTCTCAAGCAGCCCTGCTCTCGTTCATCAGCCCGAAGTTAGGATCGATTTTTTGAATTTTGTTTCCAAGGTGTATAGGACAGGCCCTCCCTCCAAAAAATCTTTGTTCACTAGATGGTTTGATAGGGTCAAGGCTAAGTTCGGGAACCATTGGAGGAACGTGGGAATTTTTTATTTTCTACACTTGTCTCAATGTGACTTATCCTACCTCGACATGGCTATGTTCCTGGCTGCCGTGCACTTATGGAATAAAGAGATACATGCATTGGAATTACCTTGCGGCCCCCTCTCACCTACTCTTCTCGATGTCGCAGCCCATCACCGGGTTAAAACCTATAGGGGAGAGATACTTTCGTGGTGCATGTCCCTCGGATAATTCGTTGAAGTCTAAAATCGATTGGGAATCGAAGGCCTACGGGCATTTCATTGAGAAACATTTCGTTGATGATCCCTCAATAGATGTTACTGATGAAGAACATGTAGCGTTTTTGGTGTATTGGCTATGCACCCATGTGTTTTGCCCCCGATCGATCCAAATTTCCCCCCATCTCTTTAACCTTGCGTATCTCCTTCACTTGGGTCAACCTCGCCTATGTTTGGCCAAGTTTTTGTTAGCACATGTATATACCGCTTTCGACGAGGCTGTCGAAATCTTAAGTACTCCTAAGGCATCGGGGAATTTTTCTGGCCCTGTTTGGTTCATACAGCTATGGTTAACATCCATTTTTGAAAGCATCCTTCCTCGATATTCTACTGTCCCCCTGAGTGTGAATATAGAAGGGGCTCGATTATCCTCCCGCCACCCTCGCCATAAATCTGACGAAGCCACATACCGTAAATACCTCCAATTTTTGTTAACCAGATTTGTTTTCGATTCAACCCCGGCCCCGTTTATCGTAAATTTTGAGCGAGTAAGTGACCAACTTAGGGGACCGATCCGGTTCAAGTCACGATTTCCCGCCTCAACTCCCGGGTTACAATTAGAACCGGTCGATATATGGAGTAGCTACTTGACCCATGATGTACTAGTATCGGGTTTCCACCCCAGGGATTTCAAGTTCGTTACTTACTATCCTCAGCTTTTTTCTAGACAGTTTGGCCTGAGCCAGTCTTTACCATTTTTTCCTTTAAATACCTTCCCCAAATCCAAGTTGACTGAATCGAACATCGGTCGAGAGCTTACCAAGTTTTTGCCAAGAACCTCAACGCATCTTTACCCATATGTGTTCAAATCGAATTATTTATCGACTGTGGAATTTTCTCAATGGTGGACCACTTGGTTCTCGAGTAATCATGATGTTTTTGACGAGGTTCGACAGAAACTAACTGCCCATCCTTCTCTTGTGTTGCAGGACAAATCGAAGGCGAAGAAAGGTAAACACTCCCAATATCTCCAAATAACTCGATTCGAGCATTTTTATCAAATTTGTTACAACCCATTGAGATTAGAATCGACCTTTTATGACGCTGTTATCTCCCTATCTCACAAAACCACCGCTAATCAAATCGATTGCAAAATAATCAATCCCTTAGGAAAGACCCCTTTTGAGATATATTGTCCCAATCGCCTTCCTACTTTTCCCAATGCTCCCTTTGGAGTTGCCAAACCTTTAACACATCCTAAATGGGTTCGAGAACTGAGAACTTCGAAAGAAACATTACGTCCCAAACCCAAAAACAAAGATATCACTGTGTCGAGACTATTTTATTTCCCTTACCTTAACCTCCCTGAAGCTTTCCTGCCTCCTTGGCTAGTACATATCGATCGAGTCAAAATTTTGACTCCATCACCTTTTGGTGAGGTTTTACTATTTTTTCTTAATTTTTGATTTTGTGTTTTGAAAATTAACTATCTTTATTCTTCGACAGTTGCAAAATCTACCAAGGTAGTCGCCTTCGAACAGGTGCAAGAGAAGGAGAAGGAAGCAAGCTGGGAGTCCCCGGATGAATCGGACCCTTTGGCCTTTACTAGAAAACGAAAACAGTCGACCACCACCACCACTTCGTCTTCGAAAAAATCGAAGGTTCTTTTCGATCTCTTAGTCTCATTCATTCTTCTGTTTATAGCGTGTTTCCCTATGGAGTCTCATACCTCCTTTCGATTTCTACCTTACAGAAAAAATCTAAGAGTCCCCGATTAGTCCAACCATCTACAGTGGATCCATTATCGATGGATTCTAACACTATTCCCTCTGCGGGTCAAACAACACCCGTCACCCACTCTAGTCACGTGAGTTTCCTTTTTCTCTAATCTCCATGTCTTAGATTTTGATAAGACTTATATCATGACTTACATTTTCGATGAATTTTCTAGGATGACCCATCGGCGACTATATCG